GGATTATTTCATTGAATCATCGATATCGTAGAAGATCATTTTTCTTCGATTTACTCACTTTGTTTCGTTACTGCAAATTATCATAGTAAACTTGTATAATAAATTTACACGTTCGTCGCTTTTTTTTTTCTCGAAGAGGATGAAAATTGAAAAAGTATTTCGAAAAAAGAGTATTAGGTATTCAGCCTAGAAGAGTATTTTTCGATAGAATTCACATACTTATCGCACAGAGGCGATTCTCAATTTCCAATTATCGATATTCACAACATCTTCGGTATGCACGAAATCTCGAGGTATTAGTCGAATAATATTCACCTCGCCAGTCTCGCCGTGATCCAGGCGGAAAACAGAAATTGGGGAACAGCATCGTGCAGAATTTTCGAGCGGATGGATCGATTCGATCCCTCTAAATCACGGAGAGAAGCCGAATAAACCCCCATCGGGGGGAGGGGGTCGGTGGTATAAAGCGTTCCAGTTCCACGGACAACGATAGACCGTGACACTACGGATTTATCGTGTCGTCATTTCCGTGTAAATCGTCTCAACATCGCCGCATAATCATATCCCGAGTTTCGATCTTCCCCAATTTTTCCTTCGAATTATGAAATTCCTTGAAATGGATATAAATCAGTTGTCGATCAGTCTCGAGTTATTATATAAATCTCTCTTATAAGGAACATTGAAATAAATCTATATCTTCATTGAAAATTATCCTTCTCTCCTATAATCATAGCGCGACAACGTTGTTTTGATTTACGAGATTCTTGTAGCTTCCACGATTTTCATATTTTTCAAATAAGAGAGAGAGAGAGAAAGAGAGGTATTTAAATCTCCCTAATTCTTTCAACGATTTTCTTTCATTTCATTCCCGTATCTTTTTTCACGTTCTTTACGAAAGAAGCTAGATATCAATCATCACAGAGAAGATATCCCTGTCACAACAATCTCGTATCTCGTCAATGGAGGAGGAGGAGGAGGAGGAATCTTGCATAGATCAAAAACAAACGAGGTATACGGTATAATGCCGTTCGAACGAGTGTAACTATTAAAGTTTGGCGTCATTCCAGTTGCAAAAGATCGTACGAGTGACGAGATAACTCATCTTTCTCGACTCAACAGATAGCTGTTTAGCTTGGAACGTTCGTCATCATCCCGGTATCTCAGCGTGCAACTTCCTTGCCTTCTTTCCTCTTCAGAAACAAAAGCAATGATAAAGATGAGAGAAGAAAAAAGAAGCAAACTAGTATCTACAAATTGTAGGAAAAAACACGTGTCGACGAGAGAAGATTCTCTCGATGCGGATTAAGGATGTAACGAGCATTTGAAAGCGCGTAGAACGAAGGTCCAGGTAATAGAGGAAACGGTAAAGAATCAGAAAACGTGGAGTTGGATGACACGAAGGAGGGTAAATGATCGACGCTGGACCCACGAGTTTTCTTTCTCTTTCTTTTTCCTTCCTTCATTTTTTCTTCTCTCTCTCTCTCTCTCTCCCTCTCTCTCTCTCTTTCTCTCTCTCTTTTTTTTTCCATCCTTAGTACGCTTTGAAACCGGTTCTTCAGGTTCGTGTAACATCTTCAAGTCCAGTAATCCCACGGCAATTTGGCTGGAACAGATGTGTCATCGTTTTGTAATGTTCCGTTCTTTAGGTTGGACGATCTTTTGATGGAGATTGAAACAGCTATCGTGTATATTGGCCACGGAATAATATCGAGTTGTTAGAAAAATTGATAATTTCGGCGTGCAGTCTTTCGACCGCGTTCGATCTTTTCGTTATCGGTCTGGTGTTAATTATCAGTTTTGCGGTGCGCCTTTTGGACTCTCATTAACAGGGGACATGCACCGTTAATTGATACCCGTAATCATTAAGGGGTCAGAGGCCGAGCGGAACAAATCAGTTGACCAAACTTTGCAGTTTCGTCGTATTTTTAGTGTAAACGTAATTTTCCGTATCTTTACATCTGTTTCTTTTTTTCGATCGAAACAACTTCGTTCAGAATCGTTTTCACGTTCAAAAGGATTATTATAATGAAAACGCAAATGATCGAATCTTTTGTCTCTGTTATTTTCTTCTTTTGTTGTGTTACGTTGCGTTATTTTGCGATATTGAAGAAAATTTTTTAATACTTTTAACGACGAATATAAATATATAGGATACGATTGTTAAGAGACGTTGTTAAGGGATGTGTAAATTCGTTGAAAGATCCAAAGATATCTTGTATTTTTGTATTTTTAATATCAATCATTTCTCAGTAAAATTATCGATACCTTTTATTTTACGTTATTTTATTATAGTTATAGTTTCAATATATTTTGATGCGAGGATGTAAAAAAAATAATGAAAGATATACATCTTATAAAATCTCCAGTAGATGCTATTTATATTAATACTATTAATTACGTTATAATAATAAAATTAATTATTTTCTTTATTTTATTTATATCTGTTACTTAAGCATTGCTTAAGCATTTTTTTTTGCACCAATTTTATGATTAACGATTACACGAGTTCAGATTCAGATTTTGCGCAGTCGTGTTGGAGATTCTTATGCAACATTTCGCAATTTTTTAATGTGGTTTATCTCATTATTGTTGTTTATTATGATAATATCGTATCGAATGGAGAACAATAATTTCTATCGATAATTACAATTTTCTTTTCAATATGTGTTATTTCTTTTTCTTTCTAATCCTTTTCTGGAAAGAAATCAAAATTATTATCTGTATGTATCGTGATTTTTTGTTATTTAAATTTCATTAAAAAATTAGATTTCTTCGCTCGTTCGTTTCATTCTATTTTGAAACACATCTTAGAAAATGAATTTTTTATCACATCTATTGAAATGATACGTAATTACACGCGTTGATGCGGATTATTAATTTAGAAACACAATGGAATATTAATTTTTTTTATCTTTTTCTTATTTCCCATTTTTTTTAACTCCGTTCTTCGGAATATTCTGTAAATACTATTATTGGGATAATTTTTTTTTTCTTTCCCCCAACATTTTTCCTCGAAGAATCTTTTCACGCTTCGAATACAATTTTTCCTGGGAATTTATTTTTTACAACGGAACGAGTAATAAATTTCGAACATTTCTTTAATTTAAAATTTTTCT